CTCAACAAAAGGAAGACAAAGAACCCAGTTAAAAAAATGGGCAGAGGACCTAAATAGACACCTCTCCAAACAGGACATACAAATGGCCAACAGACATATAAAGAAATGCTCAACATCACTAATCATTAGAGAGATGCAAATTAAAACAACAATGAGGTACCACCTCACACCTGTCAGAATGGCCACCATCAACAAATCATCAAACAAGTGTTGGCGAGGGTGTGGAGAAAAGGGGACTCTAGCACACTGTTGGTGGGAATGCAGACTGGTGCAGCCACTATGGAAAACAATACGGTGTTACCTCAAAAAATTAAACACTGAACTCCCATTTGACCCAGTGATCCCACTTCTAGGAATATACCCTAAGAAGCCTGAAACACCAATCAGAAAGAATATATGTACCCCCATGTTCATAGCAGCACCATTTACAATAGCTAAGATCTGGAAACAGCCCAAATGTCCATCAGTAGACGAATGGATAAAAAAGCTGTGGTACATATACACAATGGAGTACTATGCAGCTATAAGAAAGAAAGATCTCTTATCCTTTGAGACGACATGGAGGGACCTGGAAAGTATTATCCTAAGCAAAACAAGCCAAACAGAGAAAGACAAGTATCATATGATCTCACTTATTTGTAGAATATAATGAACATAACAGTCTGAGGAATGGGGTAGTCCCAGAGATGTGGAAGTGGGGTACAGACTGACAATCCCTAGAAGAGGGGGTTGTGGGGGATAAACCACAGAACTTATATGCAGATATGCATGAACAATGGACATGGACAACAGAGCTGGGGACAGGGCAGGGAGGGAGGGGGAGGGGCGAATCAGTGGGGGAAAAAGGAGAAACATCTGTAACAAAAATAAATAAATAAATAAAAATGCCAAAGGTGAAAGACAAAGAGAGAATCTTAAAAGTAGCAACAACAACAAAAAAAAGTCGTCGTTTATTTACAAGGGAGCACCCATAAGACTGCCAGCTGATTCTCAACAGAAACTTTACAGTAGGGATTGGCAAGAAATGTTCAAAATGATGAAAGCAAGGACCAAGATTACTCTAACCAGCAAAGCTATCATTTATAATCAAAGGACAGATAGAGCTTCTCACAAAAGAAAAAAAAAAAAATGCCAAAGGAGTTCAATCACCACCAAACCAGGATTACAATAAATGTTAAAGGGAGGAGGAGGAGGAGGAAGAGGAAGAGGAGGGGGGAGGGGCAACAAATACATATTTATCAACAATTACTTTAAATGCAAATGAATTAATTGCTCTAATCAAAAGCCACATGGTAGCTGAATATATGATAAAACAAGATTCTTTCATCTGCTGTCTACAAGAAACTCACTTCAGATGGAAAGAATACAAAGACTGAAAGTAAAGGGATAGAAAAGAATATTTCATGAAAATGGAAATGGGGAAAAAAAAAGCTAAGTTAGCAATACTTATACCAGACATAATAAATAGACTTTAAAACAAAGACTACTGTATAAAAAGAGATAAAAAAGGACCCAGCAATTCCACTTCTGGGTCTTTATCCTAAGAAATGTAAAATACCAAATCAAAATACATATGCATTCATATGTTCGTTGCAACATTATTTACAATGGCCTAGATATCGAAGCAACGTAAGTGCCATCAATAGATGAGTGGATAAAGAAGTGGTGCATATACACAATGGAATATGATAGAGCTGTAAAAAAGAATGAAATTTTGCCAGCTGCAACAGCATAGACCTAGAAGGTATTGTGCTGAATGAAATGAGTCAGACAGAGAAAGACAAATGCCAGATGATTTCACTTATATGTGGAATCTAAAAAACAAAATAAACGCCCTGGCCGGTTTGGCTCAGCGGTTAAAGCGCCGGCCTGCAGTCCGGAGAGACCCGGGTTCGGTTCCCGCTAAGGGCATGTACCTCGGCTGCAGTTTGTCCCTGGCCCTGGTTGGTCGTGTGGGTCGCAGCCACTCAATGTTTCTCTCTCTCTCTCTTCCTCCTGCTCTATCTGAACAAAGAATGAAAAAGTGTCCTCGGGTGAGGGTAAAAAAAATAAATAAAAAACAAAATAAACAAGCAGAATGAAACAGACTCATGGATACAGAGAACATTTTGAAGGTTGTCAGATGGGGAAAGAGGGTTGGGGAAGATGGGTGAAAAAAGTGAAGGGATTTAGAAGTACAAATGAGTAATTACAGAATAGTCATTGGAAATATAGTCAATATTGTAATAACTGTATATGGTGTCAGATTTATTGGGGTGATATCTTCATAAATTATATAAATGCCTAATCACAAGGTTGTATACCTGAAACTAACATATTGTATGTCAACCATAATTTTATGTATTTATTTATGTATTTATTTATATCCTCACCCGAGGAAATTTTTCCATTTTTTGTTCAGATAGAGTGGGAGGGAGAGAGAGAGAGAAACACTGAAGTGAAAGGGACACATCGAGTGGCTGCCACCCGCACGACCAACCAGGGCCGGGGACAAACTGCAGCCAAGGTACGTGCCCTTAGCGGGAACCGAACCCGGGTCTCTCCGGACCGCAGGCCGACGCTCTAACCGCTGAGCCAAACCGGGCAGGGCTCAACCATAATTTAAAAATAAATATTTTTAAAAAGAAAAATTGGGAGATACAAGAAAGTTGATTGTCATTAGAGTAACCATGTGATGATTTTTGGGTGCGCGTCCTTCCAGTCTCCTCCTTTTCCGAGCTGGGTTCTCCCGTCCGGGCGGCGCAGTCCTCGGCCCTGCTGCCCGCGCTCGTCGCGCCCGCTTTCCTGTTTCCGTTTCTGTTTCGCCGGCGCCGCGATCAGCCCGGCGGTCATCAGGGATCTGCGCGCGGCCGGGGAGGGGCTTCGGTCGGTGCCGTCCCGTTCCGTGAGGGCTGGGCGTCCCGGGCTTCCTCCTCTCCCGCCGGAGCAGCCGGAGCGCAGTCCACGCGGGAAACGCCGCACCGTCCCCGCGGCTGGAGTAAGTGCCCCTTCCCGAGGCGCCCGGGAGAAGGGCCGCGCCCGCGAGCCCCGGCCCCTGCTCGGCCTCCGCGGCTGCAAGGTGAGGGGCCCGCGCTCCCGGGACCCACGAGGAGCTGCGAGCTCGCGCCCCCGCCGGCGGGGAGGCGCCCGGCGCCGGCCCAGCCCCCAGGTGTGGCCCCGGCCGCCCGCGCCCTGCGGCGGGAGCGGAAGACGCGCGGGCCGGGCGCGCCCCGTCCTTCCTCCCGCGCCGGCGTCGGGCCGCCCTCGCCTGCGCCCCCGCCCGGCCCCCGTGGCCGGCCGTCGCCAGGGAGGCTTCCCGCCCGGCCGCCCGGCGCGCACGGGGCAGAGCGAGGCCCGCGCCCCCTGGTCCCCGCCCTTCGCGGGGCCCCGGCCTTCCGGGAGGAGGGTGTCTCCCCCTCGGTGTGGCGCTGGGCTGTGGGGCCGCCGCCGCCGCGATGCAGGGGCGCGGAGGGGAGAGTGGGGGGTGGGGTGAGGGGGGCTCGGACACCCCGCGCGCGTGGGTTAGACAGGAGGCCGTGTGGTCCGTGCCGGCAAGAATGGACGGTCTGGCCCCGGATCCGAACTCAGATGGAGGCGCAGACCTTGAAGTCTGTCTGGAGCACGGCCCAGCACCTGCGGTGGCCGGGGCCCCCGACCGGGACCTGTGAGCAGTGGTGGGCAGGCACGGGGATGACTCAGTGCCCCCGGAGACCCTGGCCCGGCTCCGAGACTCAGTAAGCAAGAGGCGGGCCGGGCCGGGCCAGGGTGGGCCGGGCGGACCAGCTTGAGGAGCACAGTTAAGGCCTCTGTGGAGTTGGCTTTGGGTTTGGGCCTGGCCCTGGTGCGATTGGATTGGCCTCACCTGGTGGGCCTGGGAGGGCTTGAGGAGTAGGTCGGGAGCCAGCACGGAGCCCTCCGCCCGTTCAGGCCTGCCTCATCCGGCCGCTTAGCCATCCCGCTGGGAAGGATGTGGTTTTTCCACATTCCATCGCCGCCCATCTGGGGCGCATGGCGGCTCTGCTTGGGGAGGACTCTCCTGGGCCCCAGTCTGTGCCATCTGGGGCTTGGGAGTCCGCTGGAAGTAACTTCCGGAAGAGTCAGGTCTCAGAGGTAGGAGGAAAGGGGGAGGGGAGTCATCTGGTTTGAAAGGTTAGGTGGACAGAGCTCTAGTGGAACGTCACTGGGAAGAGGACCCTTGCTGCCCAGACTGTGAGCTTTCCGGACTCTCCTGGGGGCAGGGGGTCTTAAGGAGAGGTGCAAGGCAGCGCCCACAGGAGGCCTTGTGTAGCACTTCATGGCTGGGGCTTACAGGACACATCTCATGGCTTCTTTGAGCACTCTGGGTGCTGTGCTGCGCCCAGCATGGAGGTTCAGGAGGGACAGGGTGCTGTCTCATGGGTATGGAGACAGACTGGTGACTGTAATACAATGTTGGGATGCAGGCCTTGGTGGTGTTTGGTGCAAAGAGCTATAGGATCATGGGGTGGGTCTCTGTTAGTTTCTGTTTGTTTGTTTGTTTGTTTGTTTTTCTCAATTACACCTTATAGTGAGTATTATTTTGTATTAGCTTCAGGTGCACAGCATAGTGGTTAGACGATCATAATCGGGAACTGGGACAAGAGGCTGTGGTGGTCAGTTTTCAAGGCCAAGCAGTCATCCTAATCCTACAGTGTTCCCCCTGATATTTGCAGTACTCACTGGCACCGTACACATTTATTACAATATTATTGACTATATTTCCTATGCTGTACTTTACATCTCCATGGCTACCAATTTGTACTTCTCAATCACTTCACTTTTATTTTTTATCTGTACCCGAGCACATTTTTTTTTCTTCATTTATCTTCAGACAGAGCGGGAGGGAGAGAGGAAAAGAGAGGGAGAGAACCATCGATGTGAGAGAGACCGATCAACTGGTTGCCACCCGCACGACCCCAACGGGGACCAGGGACAAACTGCAACCGAGGTACATGCCCTTAGTGGGAACCGAAACCTGGACTCTCTGGTCTGCGGGCTGATACTCTAACCGCTCAGCCAAACTGGCCAGGGCTCAATCACTTCACTTTTTTACCCAGTCTCCCAGGTTGCTGTTAGTTTTGTCTGAGGAGGTCAGGTTATCTGAGGTGGACTCTGAAGGATGAACAGGAGCTTGCCAGCTACAGAAGAAGGACATGTGCACTCAGGGCAGTGCCGAGAATGCTGGGAGAGGGTTGTCTCGCTGGAAAAGGGGTGTCTCCAGGTGAGAAGGGGCATTGCATATCTCATCTGAGGCCCTGACCAGGGCAGCTCACAGCCTTAGCCAGCCTGGGAGGCTCCTTGGAGGACCTGAAGGTTCCACCCATTGTAAATGAGGCGCCTGGACTCAGGAAGGATAGGGCATACGGCAGAAGGGTATTGACGCTGGAGCCTTCCAGGGCAGGAGTCTTTTTTTTTAATTTACTGTTTTATGATTTTGTATTTTTTTTTCAATCCTCACCCGAGGATATTTTTTCAAATATCTTCAGATAGAGGGGGGGGCGTCGACGTGAGAGAGACACATCGACTGGTTGCCTCCTGCAAGACCCCAACCAGGGTCGGGGACGAACCGCAGCCGAGGTACATGCCTTTGACCAGACTTGAACCCGAGACTCACTCTAACCGCTGAGCCAAACTGGCCAGGGCTGGGGCAGAAGTCTTGAAGGGTAGTGAATGACATTCTCTTTCTGTCTGGTGTAAGGTAGAGGAATCGGGAACTGGGACAAGAGGCTGTGGTGGTCAGTTTTCAAGGCCAAGCAGTCATCCTAATCCAGGACTGTGTGTATCCTGGTGGTGCCCAGGATGCTGGCTCTGGACTGTTGGCACATGAGAACCCTCACTCTAGAGTTGCGGCCACAGGAAGCGCTTCCTGTGATGACGCCTCACGTGACCATTTGCAGGCTGGGGCTGTGGAGGGCAGCGCAGGTCTGGAGTGCCCCCTGAGCCAGCTGCCCACCCCAGTGGGCCTCCCACGCACAGGATCTGATTAGCAGTACCTGGCTGGCCATCCCTAGAGGCCACATGTGTTCTTGCCCAAAGCCATTGACAGTTCCAAGAAGGACAGCTAGTTGAGGGTGAGGATGCTCAGCCATGTCTCACTGTGAGTCAGGTGCACTCAGAATTTTACATGGCGTTAATTAGCTCGTTAGGACGTCATGGTAATCAGACTAGGTGGTCCCTGTTCTTCAGGTGGGAAAACTGAGGCACGCAGAGGTTACTTGCCCAGGTTACAGCTGAGGGAGGGAGTCAGACCAGAGTTCCAGCTCCTACCGATTCTGCTCTGCCTGGATTCCTGGCCTCTCACCACCCCGTTCCCCAAATGGGGGCCACCCACCTTTGCACCCCATAGTGTTAGACGTTGAGGGTGAAGGGCAGAGAGGACCACGGTCTTCCGGGGATTCCCCCCCAGTGAAGATAGCTCCGCGAGGAGGCAGTAGTGATGTGCACAGGACAGTGGTGCTTCACAGAGCACTGTCACGGACCCTCTGGGCTGCCCGCCTGGGGGCCCAGCCCTCACCTCTGACCCAGTCCTCCCTTCCTCTTCCTGCCTGCATCTGTCAACATGGGGAAGTCTCAGGGCCAGGCAAACGTGATCATTGGGCTGGAGCCCCAAACAACTACTTTCGAAGGTTCTGCAAATCAAATTCTAGGGATTTTTGGTATTTGTGTCAAGGGTCCTAGAAGCCACCAAGGAAGTGGTCTGTTTTAAGTTACCCTCTCCCTTCGATATTCCTGTCAGTTTCGGTACCAGAGGTGGAGTGTTAAAGGGGAAAAGAGACCTTTGGAGTCATAAGCCAGTGTAAAAGGAGACCCCTCCCCGCAGGCCCACAGAAGGGTCGTCTGCCCTGGGGAAGGCGTGGGTGCCGGGAGGCTGTCTGCTGCCCGGGCTGCCTGGGCTGGATGGGAACCCCCACCTGGCAGGTAATAGTTTCTGCCCTGCTCATGGCTGTGCTGACCAGAGGGCAGCTCAGCATCCACCTTATGCTCACGCGGGACAAACCCCCTTCCCTCAGAAGGTGCTGGGTCCGTGGCTGGGGTTCCAGACGCGGCCGGGCGTCTGGCTAGCTGGTGTCCCCGTGCTTGTCCTGGGCGAACCCTTGGCCCACCAGTGATGTGTATTTGTGTCATGGGCATCTCCACATCTGTTCTTGGTTCAGCTTGCATAACCATATGTCTCATTTTAATTTTTATGCTCATCCTGTGAAGATGGAAGCACCCGTGGTGAGGTTCCTCACACACATGCTCATGTCGGACAAGTGTGTTCAGGGGCTGCCCCCTGGGCCCAGGACGGACCCTGTCGCAAGAGCTTCTGCTTGGAACCCCCCCCCACACACACACACACAAAGTGAAAGGAGACAGAGTGGCCATCATATGTTGGGCACTTCCCTGTTCCTTGTTTGACCCTGTGAAGCAGGCGGTGTCCGTTTTAGAGATGGAGAAAGCCGGTCAGGTGGCAGGTGCAGTGACCCCCACACACACCTGTCCACCTTCAGAGGGTCCCTCTGAGGTAGGAGTACATGGGCCGTTTAACATACTCCTTTGCCCTGGAGACTTAAGGAGTTGAGCTTTTTCGCTGGGGTTTAACCTGTTTCTCTAGGGAGAGCCCGCTGAAAGCAGAGCTCTGAGGACTGGAGTCTAGTCGGGCTGGGGCAGGGGAGGACAGGACAGGGTAGGCGTTCAGTGCCAGACGGGGCGGGGCGGGGGGGGGGGAGCAGGCAGGAGTGGGATGGGGGCGAGGCAGAGGGCACCTGGAGGCAGCAGCCTGTCCCTCCTGGGAGTGAGTGCAGACGGGCCTGCAGGGAGTATCTGGTTCCGGGAGAAGAGACCAGGCCAAGGCCGCAGCCAGGTGTGCCTCAGCTTTGGAGAGGGCCAGCCGGGCAGATGCTCAGGTCCGCAGCCCCTCAGCCTCAGCAAGTGCATTCCTGATAGAGGCCCTGCCGCCTGGGAAGGCAGACCTGTGTCATCAGGGCTGGGAAAGTCCTCCCCAGCCAGGCTTTCACCTCCTGGCAGCAGGAAGGAGGGGGCTGCTTGTGGGGTTCAGTTGGAACCTGAGCTTTGGCTGCTGGCTTCTAGTCGGGGAGGTCACCGCTTTGACTGTCCCCCTCTGGGCCCAGCTGCCTTTGTGCCTGTGGCAGCAGGGGGTTGGGGGTGGGGAGGGGTAGAGGGACCAGAGCCAGGCTCCTCCAGCCTGGAGACCTGGAAGGAAGGCAGGCCCTGCTAAGGAGGGGAGAGGCTGCCCTTGACCGGAGCCTCCCTGGGAGCCTTCTCAGCAGGGCTGCAGTGGGCTGGGAGGCTTGTGGGAGGCCCTGGGGCTGGGTGACAGCTCAGCCTCGAGGAAGATGGTCGCTTCTGCCCACCCTGCCTGCCCCAGCCTTGCGAGGGTCTCCATTCCTTCGTCACACCCGGTGTGGCTCACCTGTGGGACCGCCTGGCCCCCAGGCGGCCACTGCTTTTCAGAAAGCCTTGTTTTCTTCCTGGGGCGTCTCCTAGGAACCTTGGTCTCGTCCAACCTTCCAGACTGACCTGACTGCCCAGGGAGCTGAGTCAAGGACCTTTGTTGGTCCCAGCATCTTGTTGCAGTGACGATGACCAGTATGTAGAGTGATGGCACTGGCTGTCCTGTCACACTCAGCGGACAGCACGTGCTCCCTCTCGTAGGTGAGGAAACCAGGCTTCCTGCCAGGACTTGGGAGGCAGGAGGAACAGTGTTACCCACGAAGGCACTTCTGTCCGTGTTGGTGACTGTCCTTGCCCACCTGCGCCATCCCGCAGCCCGGCTGCCAGCTCAGGCCCAGGAGGCGGCTGGGGCTCCTGCTCGGCCCTGGCAATGCCCTTTTCTCCCCGACTAAGCTCTAAGAGGAGGACAGTTGTGTGGTGTTTGCAGGCGAGGCACTGATACAGGCAAAGGCCACCCTGACCCTGCTGGACTAGCCCCTGGGACACCTGTGTCCGTCCCTGCTAGCCCTCTAGCCCTACCCATTGGGCACAGTTCTTGTAGAAGAGCAGGTGAGGGAAGCAGGAGACTCAAGGTCATGGAGGCCGTGGCACCCCAGGATGATGGGCTCCTGAGGACCTGCTTGGGGCAGCAGAGCCGTGGGAGGAGACGGCCGGAGCCTCTGGTGGAGGTCCCTGCGCCTTTCTCCCGCCTCCCCTGGGCCAGCGCTTTCTTTTTATCGAAATATTTGCCATATCATAAAATGCACCCATTTAAAGTGGATTTTAATATATTCACAGTTGTGCAACCATTACCACATTCTAATTTTAGAACATTTCAGCACTCCCAGGAGAAGCCTGCACACTTCTCAGTCCCTCCCGTCCCTCTCCCGCAGCTCTGCAGCCACCATCTGTGTTCTGTCCCTGGACTTGCCTCTTGCGGGGAGTTCGTGTAAACGGAGTCATACTGGCCTTTTGGGACTGTTTTTTTCCCCCACTGATTCCCCCTCTCCCTCCCTCCCTGCCCTGTCCCCAGCTTTGTTGTCCATGTCCACTGTTCATAGATACATGCATATAAGTTCTGTGGTTTATCTCTCCCCCACCACCCCCTCTTCTGGGGATTGTCAGTCTGCACCCCACTTCCACGTCTCTGGGACTACCCCATTCCTCAAACTGTTATGTTCATTATATTCTACAAATAAGTGAGATCATATGATACTTGTCTTTCTCTGGCTTGTTTTGCTTAGGATAATACTTTCCAGGTCCCTCCATGTCATCTCAAAGGATAAGAGATCTTTCTTTCTTACAGCTGCATAGTACTCCATTGTGTATATGTACCATGGCTTGTTTTATCCATTCCTCTACTGATGGACACTTGGGCTGTTTCCAGATCTTAGCTATTGTAAATGGTGCTGCTATGAACATGGGGGTACATATATTCTTTCTGATTGGTGTTTCAGGCTTCTTAGGGTATATTCCTAGAAGTGGGATCACTGGGTCAAATGGGAGTTCAGTGTTTAATTTTTTGAGGTAACACCGTATTGTTTTCCATAGTGGCTGCACCAGTCTGCATTCCCACCAACAGTGTGCTAGAGTCCCCTTTTCTCCACACCCTCGCCAACACTTGTTTGATGATTTGTTGATGGCGGCCATTCTGACAGGTGTGAGGTGGTACCTCATTGTTGTTTTAATTTGCATCTCTCTGATGATTAGTGATGTTGAGCGTTTCTTCATATGTCTGTTGGCCATTTGTATGTCCTGTTTGGAGAGGTGTCTATTTAGGTCCTCTGC